GCCAAAGTAGAGTAGCCATGATAGAAATCTTCTAAAGTGAGTTTAAAATAAAAAATAATACTAATTAGATTTTATCAAAATTTTTTTTTGACAGCTGTAAAAAAAGTACAGAAGAAAGTATTTCTCACTCTCAGGTTTTGTTAGTGTTCAGTGTATTCATAATGCAGCAATCTGTATATAAAATACCTGTTTATTATTACAAACAAATACAGATGCAAAGGCCTAACCTTGCAGCAGGTTGGTTTAACTATTTTTCAATGAACTTGTTACACAGTTAATTGTTCCTTCAGCTTTGCAATAGCCCCTTAGCAGAACAGTTTTGCAGCTTCATCAGAACATGGTAAAACCAGAGCAGACCCTGAGGCAGCCAGCCCCTGCACATAGGTGGGAGGGGCAGCATTAGTTCAGCATTCAAAGCCATCGTGTTGAATACTTTCAGAGTTTATTTTATGCTTTACAAAGCGCTTTTTGCCCATTAGAAATCAGCATCATCTATGGATCCTTTCCCATCCAGGTCAGCACTTTGGATCTTGCCTAGCTACTTAGATTTGGTTCCTATCTGGGGGCAGCTCATTGGCCCATGCAGGGTAAACTCGTTGCACAGGTGCAGCCACACCACCCTCTCTCAGAACACCGAGGGACATTGGCCAAGAGGCAGTGAGAACAAGGGACATGCTGCTTTCAAACCTCCTCAGTGCCACCGGGAGCCAGAGGGGAACGTGTAATCATCTAACAAAAAACTGACTCCACCAAAGGCAGAGGCAGGTCCTGGAAACCTCCAGCAGCACCTGCCCTTGCTTTTGCACAACTGACTGGCCAGGAGCGCCCCCAAGCTCAATAATCTCCACGCTCTTTTATGTTTTCATACAAAAAATTTAATAAATATTACTTTTCAAGATTTATTGCCAGGAACAACACATCAAAGATGCATTTTCATATAACACTAATATCACAATACAAGGTATCTTCATGATCTCAATGGTTAACCACTGAGATGACTATGTTTATAAGCCTTTTGATCTCAAACATCGTAATAGCACTTTGATTTCCTCACTTGTTAAGGCGGGCAGTGTAATCTATGGCAAACCTACACAGTGATCTTACTGGACATTCTACTGTTCAAGTATTCAACAACTAGCTTATTAGAATACTCCCTAAATGCAGTAGATTACAAAAAAAGTCAAATCTACAAGTGGTTCAGTATTACATATTCATGGTGAGAAAAAAATAATTAGAATTTACAAAATAAGATTGCTGTATTTCCAACTTCACACACTAATTTGATATTTTTAATTACATGCAACCACTCACATTTCATCTACATAAAGTAATAGCTCAGTTTTGTTCCCTTAAACTGCTTCTTAGCAGATTATCTGTCTGTCACTCGGTTTTCAAGTCTAAAGCAGCAAAAAAAATTTTCTAGTCTAATTCTCTAAACTGCCTCAGTCAGTACTTACAAATAGTCTTAAAGTGATACTATGGAAGGTGTTTCAAACGTTTGACATTGTACAAAAACCAGCATCAAGGCATGGAAGCCCATCCTATTAAAAATAAACTATTTTAGAACACCTTAGTTTTGGCATATAGGCAACATGTAACAAGAAAATAAATTCAAAAGAGAGAAGCCACGAGCTTACAATGCTATCAAAAACCTTCAACTCTAAACACATACATATAAATAAAAAGGAATGATATTTTAAGGCTCTTGATTATTAAGTTAATAAATCAAATATACACAGTGATTAATAAAAAAAGAATTATTTACATATCTATACAAACTTCTATTTTTGACACATCTTCCTCTTTAAATTCTTCATTTACCAGCAACTGCTGACAAGTTCCCCCCACCCACCCCCAACAAAAATACAATAAAAAAATAAATAATAAACTTATTTTTGATGGTTGCTGTGGTTCCGAGCTGCAAAGGCACTTTCAAATACAGAACTAGTTGTACGTCACCATAAAACCAATATACAAAAAACTCAAATTCAATAAATATAAATAAAATGTATTATTCTAAAGAAACTGTATAAATCGGAACATATGGCAGAAGAGAAAAAATGGACACTAAGGAAGAGTAATAAGGCTACATAATACCTTATGGAACGTTTCCGTGATGGATCAGCTGCAGCTGAATTTACAGGAGGGCACTTTTGACTAGTTTTGCATAGATGTGAAATGCAGCACTTGGTATTCCAGCCAACCACAGCAACTATCATTGCCAGTGTAAGCCAGCTTGTCCAAACTTAAATTAACACAGGGATTCTAAGTAAATAATAGCCTTAGACTCAAATATTACACAACAGTTTAAGAACTACAAGCTCTTGAGTGCCTTTATAATGATACTCAAAGGCCCTGCATGGCAGCACCCGACTGTCTGCTATACGATGTACTCCATCCGATTTAGGCTTTGTGCACTTTCCAAGTCTCTGTTGTCCTGTTTATTTGTCCAGTTTGGGTGTTTTGTAGGGGTGCTGTTGGGGGGTTTTTCATCTCTGTCTACCAAAGTGTAGGCTGGTTGCTTGGCAAATCGGGCCTTCTGCTGGTGCTTGTCCATGTCATCCTCCTCCACCTCGGAGTTGTGTGTCCTTATTTTGGCGATTTTAGAGTTTTTGTTTTCATAGTCTTTAATGGGGACAGTATTTGCGCCATGTTTCTCAATGGGGTTTTTGATCTGGTTCAGCTGCTCCCTTACGTTGTTGGTGGTGTTGTCATCAGAGGCCGTGTGGGTGTGGCTGCTCTGCTTTCGCCGCTTTCGGATGCACCAGTAAAAGACGGTGACCAGGCAACAGATCCAGGCTACTGTCAGCACCGAGCTGAGCAAGGGCACCAGGAAATCTGGAAGAGACAGGAGACAGTTAGTCCTGCTGCAAACCATGGGGGACACTCTGGGACGTCTCAGAGAAAACAAATCTCAGTTCTTATGCCTTGTCATTTCCCATATTTCTCCACCAGGAGCATGGAAGAGTAGCAGCCCTTTTGCCAGGTTAGGCCATTGGTTTAGCAAACTTTGGAACATTTCTTAGGGTTTTTATCAATAAAAAGACCTTGGGTGCAAAGCCTCCCCACTGTTCCTGATGAACAGGGACTTGCTGAAAGTCTCCAAAGGGAGGAAAGGCTCTGCCCCTTGGCAGGGGTGCTGCAGGCAGGGCGAGGTGCAGTAGCTGGGGGCCAAGGAGCAGCTCACCCGTTTTGCTCTTGGCCGGCCGCCGCTGCACCCTGACTTCGGCAACAGCAGCGATGAGGGTGTTGTTCCCATCACGCTTACTGACGAGGTCGATGATCTTATCTGTGATGTCTTTGATGGGGTTTTCATCCTCCCCGATGTCTTCTGCAGACTGCAGGAGGAGGCACACAATTAACACCAAGCACCACATCAGATGCATGGGGCAACATGCTATTTATAAACCTTCACAGGCAGTGAAGGCTCTTGCTGCTGTTCATATATAACAAAACAGAACTAAAGGACTGCTGTGGGCAGAAACTAATGACTCAGAATTCTTGTTCTCATCCTTAAAAAGATGAAACGCCCCCCAAAAGCAAGAGTGTAACAGAGAAATGTTTTACTTTCCCTATTACAGCTGCCCCTGGATGGTAGCTCTCACGTACACACATGTAACCAGAATTCCTTTCCTGTTCTTAAAGGGTATCAGGATGGAAACTAAACCACAAGAAGCACTGACAAAGCCAGGAATTAGTATTTTTATGAAATCCACGTGTTGCACACATATCCAAGCAATTAACTACTAAGACATTGAAAATATTCCAGGAATACTTACAATAGCAACATGGATTTCATTATTTGCCAAGTGGGAAGGCTCACAGGTAATATAGATGGAATATTCAACAGAAATATTCTTCAGAATATTCAGATTCCTCAATTCACTGCAAACATGCTCTGTGGTAAGGCCCTGGAGGATACAAAAAAAGATGTTGGCTTTTTTAAAATACATATGCACATGAACACGAAGATATAAGATTTGTTTGGGATTCTTTTGTTTGCCCTGAAGTAAGAGTTCTCAAGGGAAAAGGAAGTGGAATTCCCTCCAACCTAGCTTTTTTTCTTGTCTAGTCACAAAAGCATTTAGGCTGCAAGGCTATATTAATCCTTCTCTGCTTTTTGTTTTCTTTGATAATGAGGCAGAGTCAGCTTTTGCTGCAGTCTTCCCCAGGGAAAACATCATTCCATGCTCTGGGAATGAGTCTGTGTGTGCCACAGCCCAGCGAGCTGCTATTACTTACTGGGGCCATCATTTCTTTGTTAAAGGTGAAGGTAATGTTGGCACAGTTGTCCTGGTAGTAGGAATCTGAGTTGCACTTGGTCCTCACAGGTTGCTGGTTGGAGGGCCAGCATTCCCCCACGGCGGCACACGGGTGGGTGAAGCAATGGTCGTCCCGCACAGGGACACAGGCGTGGCCAGCGGGGCACTCGCTGGGGCCCTTGGCATGCAGGACACAAGGCCGAGGGCCACACCAGACCTAGGAGAGGATGAATACTGGTGAGATTCCACTGGCTAGAGGACAGAAGATGGTGTAAGTCCAACCAGAGCACAGCTGTACCTTAGAACAGGTGACTTTTCCGTTCAGACACTGACAGGTATTGCAGTCGTCATCCCACTTAGTTCCATCTGGCATGACTCGAACACTGGTAATGCAAGGCCTACCTGTAACTGAAGAGAGATTCAACAGAATTATAAGTTAAAAATAGGAAACAAATGCCTTTTCAAAGTTCATCTAAACTTCCCACTAAGTTGCTTCTTCAATAAGGATACTTGCTTTAAAAAACAACAGATAGTATGCCCCAAAACCAACCCCATACAACCACAAACCCATCAATGTGCAATTATACAGATATTGCTACAAGTGCTAGGATCAGCTCTGGCATCTGGAATACCTTCTTGGCATCCTGGACCACTGCGACCCGGGGGGCAAATGCAACGGTACCCATTAATTTCATCTATGCATGTGGCTCCAAAGGCACAGGGCGAGGACTGGCATTCATTGATGTCTATGATGGGAAGGAGAGGAAACAGAACAGTTACTCCATAGTATCCTTTTGTCAGGAAAAAAGCAAACATGGGATATAATTGCCTACTGGAGCTTTATGTTCATTTTCTAGTGTCTACTGGGACATAGATTCCTGCTTGCAGCACCAGTCTAACCTCAGAAAAGTCCTTTGACGTTTCTGCTGTGTGGAACTAACAAAGATCAAAACCTGACCCCTGTGGCTACTCGAGCTTTCCAGGGCAAGGACACATTCCTTCCTACACAGACACACTTCCTCTCCTCTGATGTGCTCCAGTTTTGTCCCCCACTAGATTCTTCAACTGATGCCAATGTTAAACCCTTCCCAGCTCTATTGCTGCTGTGAGACTTCTATTCCATAGCTGTTATTAAAAAAGTGTCCTCCTACCTGTAATTATTATTAAATTACAGGGAAGCGCAAACATCACCTCAGGGCTTGGAGGTGGATTATTAATTGACAAGGTTTTTGGCTGGCACACTTTCATCTAAAGCAGAAGCCTGAGCCACACAAACACAAGGGAAGGCTCTCCCAAAGGGCATTTTGCCCACTCGGCTGAACCAAGAGGTTTCAGCTCTAGCTGAATAACTTTAAATTTCTTTCGTTTTCAGTGGGATTCCTGCCTTCTCCAAATGTGCTACAGATCCAGGTATGGATAGAGATGACTCAAGACACTTATCACTCATCTGATCTACTACTTAACTCAATTAAGATGATTGTCTTGCAACAAGGTTCAAGCGAGACACAAAACTGAGGCAGAGAGCCATCAGAACACTCACTGATCCTGCAGTCGGGCCCGGCGAAGCCTGGAGCACACTCACAGCGGTACCAGTTCTCTCCATCCACACAAGTGCCGCTGTTGTAACTGTGGAGAATCATCACAAGCATTAAAAACTGCTACAGATAAAAGGAATTCTAAAGCAATAAAAAAGCAAAGGATAAACATAGCAAACTTACCAAGGATGAGGACTGCAGTCGTTTGTGTCTGTAAAGCAAAGACAGACGGCATTAAACATGTAGATTTTGGCTAATACAGCTCTACTGGCAGTAAAGAATGATCAAACTTCCCCTAATGCCCAAGTTATACTTAGCTCAACTTTTACAAAAATATGCTGAAATTCTCTACTAAATTGATTCCAGGCTTGTACCACAAAATTTGTTAACTACATTGTGAAACACATGTATACAGGAAGAGATCCTTGTAAAGAATCTAAAGCGGGGGTAAAAAAAGTGGAAGCAGACAGAGCTGCTCGTAGAAAAAGAATGCAGGAGAAAACAAGACAACATCTGTCTCCACTTAGCTCATTTGCAACTTTCTCATGCCCAGGTCAAGGCTGTATCACATAAAGTCATTAAAAACAAAGATTCAGGTGATGCTAAAGCCTACATCAAACAAGCTTTCCCTTCTGGATTCAATCTTGACTCCAAGGGCGACAGGATGAGCTCATGTTCTCATCATGCAACACTCTGGAAGAGTTCAAGCAGAGCTGACTTACTCTGGGTGCATGTGGGTCCTTCCCAGCCCTCCTTGCAGACACAAGTGAACGAGTCCCCGCTGACTACACAGGTACCACCGTTGTGACAGGGGTTTGGTAGGCAGCTGCTGTTCCTCGCTGTAACACAAACAACATTTGCCGCTCAGTTGTTAGAAAGCCATCAAGCCTGAGCCAAGAGGAACAGCTGAAGTCAGAGCTGTAGCGCTGCATCTATGTCCTGGTGATTGTGCAGGCTATTTACCTATGTTACAAGTGGCTCCTTCCCATCCTGCAGGACACATGCACTTGAAAGTGTCCCCCTCGTCATAGCACGTCCCCCCGTTGTTGCATGTCGCCTCATCACACTGGCTCTCACCTGTGGAAAACCCAAACTATCCTTAATGCTGGTGCTCCCTTAGGGCAATGAGTTCAAGCAGCCTATCAGAGCACATCTGTTACGTTCTGGAAATGCTGAACTTACGGGAGTGGCAAGTTTTTCCTTTCCACCCATTTTTACATTCACAGAAGAAGTCGTTGACCAAGTCTCGGCAAGTTCCTCCATTGTGGCAAGGGTTTTTACTGCAGTCATTAATATCTGGATATGTTAAGAAGAGAAAACAAGCTCAGTGGTGTTTACAGAACTGACAAACGCAATGCTTGAAAGGAGCATAACCCATTCCTAATTTTGGCTGTGTTTCAGTTTTAAGCACTGTCACATAGATGAAGACTGTTTCACCCCAGTCCTCCAGTTTGTTTTCATTTTGTTTATAATCTTGTTTCAGTAAAAAAGCAGTGAAAAGGCCTATTACATAAACTACCCTGTTAGTCAGGGGAAGGGAGCAAAGCACTCAACTCCTCTTCTTTTCCTGAGACTGACAAAATGCAGGTATAATATGCAGACAGGCCATAAAGTGGCATATACTCATGCAAAGGGTTTCTTCCTGGAAGTTACCCAAAGCATAGAGCAGGAAACTCAATAGTGAGAGAGCCAGGTTCTAAACTTCTAAACCCAGTCCAACTTTGCAACTTGCGCTTAGTTCCAATACAAAAGATTGGGACTTGGTGGGAGGAACTGATCCTCCATGGCCTCTGAAGCAGAGTTTATTGACATAAGTCACTGTCATCTTAAGACAGTACCAGCCATTCCTTCCCAATGTTTTCCCAAGAGATCTTTCTGTATGCTAAAGGATGGATAACTTACTTGTTTCACAATATGTTCCTTCCCATCCATCACTACAAATACATTTGTAGGAGTTGATGCCATCAATGCAAGTGCCACCATTTTTACAGGGGTTGCTTTCACAGTCATTGATATCTGCAACAGTTGGGAAGAAAGAAGAGGATTAAAAAAAGAGGGAAAAAAAAATCAAACTAGAAGTACAGCTACTAGGACTCATTATCTTACTGCAGACTGTTTTGGTGCTACTTCCATTTCTAATAATACCTTTTGGAAAGGAAGGGTTACAAGCAAGATGACAAATGGGTAAAAAACTGCACAAGGTGACGAATCTGTCACTATAAAAACCAAAAAATAAAATTCAGGAGTCCTTAAGATCCATGTTAAACCCCACTATTAATTCCCTCAGACCTTGTATACATAAGGTTTTTAACAACATAAAATTCAAGGCCAGGTGGGTCATTGCTGTGAACCTTCCCCAAGGCCTAGCAAATTCCACTCTGCCTCGCCCAAGAGTGATATGAAAACTTACTGCAGTTCCAAGGTTCACTAAGTCACAATGAAGAAACCTTAAAGAGGTCTGGGAGGGAAGGATGGAATCTTTTCCCAGTAAGAGTGGGGGACAGTAAAATACATTCTCTTTTTTGCTCTTACTCTCATGACAGTAGGTGCCAGTGAATCCTTTGTTGCATTCACAGGTGAATTTTCCACCTGCTTGGCTCTTGCACTTCCCATGAGGACCACAAACATTGGAAGAGATGTAGCGAACCCCTTCGGGTGTGCTGTTGGAAGCCACCGCCACTGTGCAGCTGTCAATTACTGCAGAAAAGCAGAGACCAGCATGAGAATTACCCATGCAACCCAGTTCCTCAAGAACAACATTTTCACTTCCAGCCATGGATGTTTAGAAGACACTTGTGCCATTGAATCATTTAGGTTGGAAAAGACCTTTAAAATCATCAAGCAAAACCATAAACATATGACTACAAATATGTTTGCTGCTTTAAAATAACATTGGACTCTGCCAACTGCGCATAAAATAATCACAGCATCTTATCTGATGGTTACTGGAACACAGCCATAGCCTGGAATAAAAGCATCAGGCCATTTGCTACCTGTGCTTTCTGTCCACATTGACATAATGCTGTCTTTCAATAGCTGATACTTACAAATATCACACATCTTTTCACACAGAGAGAGGCCTAAAGCAGAGGGCAAAATTCAGCCTCTTTATAGCAGAGCTACTCCAGTGACTCCCCTTCTGGAGCTGCGTTAGGGCTCCAGTGAGGCCAGGGGCAGGAACTATTGCCAGACATTGCCCTTCACCTGCAAGGCAACACGAACCTTCACACGGCGTGGTGCGGCAGTGATCCTTCAGGTGGGAGCAGTTCTTCCCTTCATAATCCTCGGGGCAGTTACAGAAATAGTCCATGGCAAGATTGAAGCACTGGGCGCCGTTCTGGCACGGATTTGGCTCACAATAATCTATGTCCAGCTGTCAGTAGTGCACAGAGAGGGAAGGGAAATGGGAAGGAGGGGAAAGGAGCGAGGGAAAGCTTAGTTAAAGAGGTTTATCATGGCTTTCCCTCACCACGACAGGCTGACATTGTGGAATCTGACCTTTTTATCTGCTGCCTCAAAGAATCATTCTTAGTACACAGAGTTTAGTCCCACTTGCCACTATTCCGGCAGACAACTCTTGATATTAAACTGCCAAAGTTAATAGTGAGAGCTCCACAAAGCCTGACGTGCAAACTCTGCAGTCTGCCTAACAATGAGAATCCTCCCCAGCCTGTCAGGCGTTTGTTGGTTTCTCCCCCTCCACCCCCAATATATATTAATCAAGCACTTTCTTGGCAGACTGACAGCGATATCAAGTACAACTTTATACTATGCTTCACTGGATGCAAGGCATTCCATGCTCAGATCCGGAGCGTCACAACAAACGGCACTGGCTGAGGGCCTGCCTTTCACCCAGCCTTCTTACCTGACAGAGGTTTCCTGAGAAACCAGCGGGACACAGACATTGGAATCCATTGATTTCATCCTGGCAGTGACCCCCATTCATGCAAGGGTTACTTGCACATTCATTGATGTCTTTCTCACAGTGATCTCCTGCATAGCCAGGTGAACAGATACACCGATAACCATTAACCAAGTCCTGGGAAAGAACAGAAAAAGGTTTCAGAGTTAACGTTGATCCTCCCTTCATATATTCTTATTAGGAAGAAAAAAATTATAAAAAGTTAAAAAAAAATCATCTATGTCCAAAATATTTAGAGGGGAAAAATCAAACATGCACACAGACCACCCAGTGCCAGTTTACATTCTTAATTTCCAGGCAGGATACATTAATCCACAGGTAGAAGGGAAGTGCCTACAGTTCCAGTAGGTAGTTTGCACAACCATCAGCTCATTCACTGGTGACACTGGCAGTGAAAATGAGTCATTTATTGAAGATACATTTTTTGCCCTTACTGTTCTACAGACATATTTCAACATGCTGTAGCATGACATAGGCCCTCCCCCAACTTAAAGACATGACCATTTGTACCACCTATTTGCTATTTTCCAAACTTTTTGTGCTTAGACTCAAATATTTTAGTTACTGTTGCAAGTCTTGGGAAACCAAGGTAAAACAAGAATAGCTTACCCGACAGGATCCTCCATTCTGACATTGTCCACGACAATCATTAATATCTGCAATAAAATTAGCACGGTTAGAAGGCAAAAATATATTTACACTAGATAGAGAGTTCAGGTCTCTCTAAAACTGCAGCTAGATAAACTTTTTGTCAAGTTTCCTGCATGCCTTCCTTGAGATAAGGTTATTATAATGGGTGGGAAACCTTTCACGATTCTTTTAGGAGAGGCAGTAAAACTTCACATCATTGTTTTAGTCCCTTTATCAGAATATAACTATGGTACAGGCTAATGACTTTGATAAAATTGTGTATTTTCATTCTGCACCAACTACTCCCTTTCTAAAAACATCAACTGCTGGGGCTCTGCACAGTGTTTAAATTGAGCTCAGAACTCAGGGCACATGCACATATGCCCAAAGAACTGGCCTTTAATAAACCCAAGGGTATGGACACTTACTTATATCACAGTTGTGGCCAGACCAGCCAGTAATGCAGTCACAGTAGTAGCTGCCAATCAGATTCCTGCAGGAGTTGGCATTGACACAGGGCTTGCCCTCACATTCATTGGCATCTGGAAAACCAAGGGGAACATTCAGGGGGGAAGGGAGAAGCCCACGCCCCAGCAATAACCAGCAGTTCCTCCAGAGCTAAGAGGAACTTGCAGCATACAGCTGGATTAGCATGACTTGAAGGAACAAAAGTCAATCATCATCAGCCTCTGAAGGCTCTTTCAGTTTCTCTGCAATTAGAACATACAGGCTATGCTAATTATTTCACAATTACCCAGCCACTCATTAAGAGCAACTTGCCCCCACATATGCATCTCAGCTGAGCATTCTGAAGGAGGAATGCTGCAGCCTGGTCACTGGGATGAGTGTGTTGTGCAAAGAATGCAGCCAACTCACTCTTGGTGAAATCATCCCCATTTTGGAGCCCAGCTGTGAGCTCCTGGGTCTGGGGGAGTTGACATGGTTGAGGAGATACAGCAACTTTCTCACAGGGTTAAGGGAGAAAAGCACATGTGGGGGCAGGACTGGGAGGCACAACAGGCAGCCTCCCCACTTCAGGGCAGTTCTGGTTTGAAGGATGTCTCTGGTTAGCTATTTCCTTCAAATGCCAGCATGCTGAAGCAAGGTGATGAAAGCCACACTGCACTAGACCTCAGTCCTGCAAACAGACACTGAATATCTTCAATGTGCCAAAAAACATCCACAAGCTTCAGAAACATGACTGTAAGTAATGCAGGACCACAATGCCTTTTGCATTTATCTTTTCCAGCTCTGGAACAACACTGGATGAAGAGAAAGCAGTTCTTACCTAGCTGGCACGTTTTGCCAGTCCACTGGGGTGGGCAAATACACTTAAATCCATCAACTAGATCTTGGCAAGTTCCTCCATGACCACAGGGATTTGGAGAACAATCATCAATATCTGTAATGCAGAATAAGGAGAGGCTTAGCTCCACTACCAGACTGGCAATGGCAGTAACTGACAAGTCTGACAAAGGGTTGCTGCTACTCAGGTTTTCCCTGAGGAACAGAAGAACAACAGGACTTCTACCTAGAGTTTACAGGCTGTCTTTGATTTCAGCAAAACCCTCATTTAAAGAGAGGAGTAATGTGAAAATGGGGTTCAAAGCACTGGGAGAAAAGTTTACCCCTGTGGCCTTTTTGCAAGTGGAAATCCTATTTGGATCCAGCAAGTTCCTCAAAACAGCATTTTTAACAAGGGGAAGAGAGTGCACAGGGGTGCAAATGGCTGCCGGGAGCAATGCTCAGGCTGGGAAAGGTTAAGTAGTCTGCCCTGTAATGTTATGAGGGATTGGAAAGACAGAGCAAAACCAGCAAACTGGCACATTTTTAATAAACACTGAAGGGACTCACTATCAGTGCAAGTTGGTCCAGCCCAGCCAGGAGCACACACACATTCAAATCCCGTGGATGTCTCGAGGCAGCTTCCCCCGTTGTGACAAGGGTCGGAGAGGCAGGCGTGCTCCGCTGCACAGGGACAGAAGGACATCAGGGCAGAGGCTACAGCAATGCCACCACAAGCCACCCCTGCTCCCTCCACATGCTTCTGCTCTGGACACACCATCAGCACTCTTGCTGCACCATGCTCCTGCAAGAACCAGGAATTTTCTGGCTCGCGGAGAGTCTTGTTCCACGCTAAGCTCACCAGCACACTGGCACCTGCTGCAGCCACGGCCAGACACAGGGTGGCTCGCAGTGACCTTCCCAGTGAGCAGAAGGCTCATGTTCAGAGACACCAAACATTCATGACAAAGCATGAGAATAGGAAAGGCTGCATGTTTGTACCCAGCCCTGACTGGGTACACTACAAATTGAGTTTTCCTCAATCTCATAAAGTGCATCCAAAACTAGCCACCAAAATCTGGCAAGAATTAACTGTCACGCAGCAGCTCCATCCAACACTTACCAATTTCACAGTTCTGTCCCGAGTAGCCCTCAGGGCAGGAACATTGGTATTTGTCAGGGCCAGTGTTGCTGCAAGTACCACCATTCAAGCAGGGTGGGTGGGTTCCACAGTAGTTCAGATCTGCAAGAGGGGAGGAGCGTTAAAGCCAGGCTGGAAAGTTACAGGAACATCACCATGTGCTTTGTTCTGTTACCCCAGAGCCTTTACAGAATGCATGCCCACAGAGGAGTGGGACAGGACAGGGACAAGCTAAGGACAGATGCTAACCATGCTGGCGCAGCAGTGGGGACAGGGGCAGGCAGCTGAGGGCCAGCACGTTTCAGCAGCTCGCTGAGCCCCGCATGCAATCCCACGTGCAAAGTCTGCCAGCGCTGACATCCCAGTGTGACACGGCCCTCTGGGATTAGCATACCTTTGTCACAGAGCTGCCCACCCCAGTTGGTTTCACAGAGGCACTGCCATGGTTCAATGCAAGTGCCATGGACACATCCCGGGTGTGGAATGCACTTATCACAGTACTGGCCTTGCCATCCATACTGACACCTTCAGTTAAAGAGGAAAAAAAAGGAAAAAAAAATCAGAATAGGGAAACAAACCCAAACCCATCATAATTGCTGTGTGTAGATACAAGTGTACAACTCCAAAGCTTGAAGAAAGGCTGGGAAGTGGGGGAGAAGGGCAGGATGATGGGAGGGGAGAAGCTATTCAAGGATTGTTTGATGGTTTCTTGTAAACAAACATTTTGCTAGTTTTGCCAAGGTCTCTGTAGCCGGCCTCTTGACAAAAGAATAACTGTTCTGAGAAAACCAGCATGAGGCCGTTCAGCACAATAACACTCTTTTGGAGCCTCATATAAATGTGACAGAGAGGGTGGGTGTGCACTACAAATCAATCTCTGGACTTTGACAGGGCGCTTTATAAATTGAGGGGGGAAGAAAAAGTCAGTGGAAACAATAGTTATCCAGAGATCCTCATGAATACAAGGTTCCAGGCGTTTCAGCCATGCTGTGTTTGCAGGAAGACAAACAAAACCATAACCAGCAACT